TACAAGGAGACCGAAGTCGGTGAGGTGATCAGACTTAATTTTATCTGCCAATTTTATTTCTCTATTTCTCAGGAATTTGGCTGTAGTGTAACGGGGGGTGGGGAAAATAGCTCTATCTTGTCCATTATTCCACCCCCCAGTTAACTAACGAGGCCGGGGGAAACAGCTCTCTCTAGTCCGTTATCCCGTCCCCAGTTAGCTAACTATTCTAGAGCACTCCCAGAGTTCCTAAGGCAGCCTCTCTCGTTCAACATCTTGTAACCTAGGTATTTGACTACCTAGGTGCTAAGACTACAAGGCGCCGTAACTGGATCAGTTACCCGAAACTCTAGAGAGAACTCTAGAATCCAAAATCATTGCCACAAAACGTATAAGAGAAAGCGAAAGGAAAGAAATGAATAGTGAAGTAATTAGTGAGGGTTCGGGGTGAGAGGTAGGGAGGTGGGAGGAGCGAGGAGGGTCATTAGTTGAAAGTGAGAGTTTAGAGAGGGGTGGAGGGAGAGGTGTAGATAGGTAGAAGGAGAAGAGTAGATAGTAGAAGTCGAAAGTAGATAGTAGAAGACGAAATGCTGCCACCATCCATTCATGATCATTACATACAAGACAAGGAATGGAACTTGCCTGTATCACAAAATTCTCAAAGGATGTTATCATGAGTTCATTATTAGTATGTTCCCTCTGTACCATGTATCAACTCCAAACATGTACTCATTAATATCTTGAATCTAGAAACCACCGAGGCTTTCTCACCTCAACTCAACTCTCTAGGGAACACAGTGAAAGACCATTTAAATAATAAATTCAACAATTATATTTTTCATGATAAGTATCATAACTTAAGCAATCCAATTAAAATGTTAACGATTAATATTCAAAGTGAGTCATCCTCCAAGAATCTGAGAGCACTACAACTGACTGCCCCTGATCATCACACAACACTTGTAAAACACGACAAGTCACCTTAATGTTCACTCACCGAGGACTAAGTTGAATAGAGAGGGGGGGGGTCTGTAGTTGACAGAGACTCCCGCCCTGCCGGCCGACAGCCTCCCTGCTAGGGCCGTCTCCTCTGCTCTGCTCGTCTGCTGTTCTCTTGATTTAATTCTCCATGCTTGATAGCTCTCCGAGTTTATATTGGGGAATCTAGTAGCTAACTCCGCCCACAAGTAGATAGCCTCCGGCACTCTACCAAGCCACTCCTTAAACGTCGGCATGTTTGAAGGCTACCAGACTACAACTAAGAGATTATCAGAAGCAAGGTGAAATTCGCATGATCTGACCTCAGGTCACTTGGGGTCATTAACGCTTAGAGGTGTGAGATCTCAGGCAGACAACTGGCGCCTCTCAGATCCCTGTCTGTGACTCGTGTACTCTATGTATGTATTAAACTAAACCAAACACTTTTACAGTGTTACAGTAGCTCCCAGATCTTGTACTTGTAGGTCAGCTGGAATTTTGTCCACCACAATGGCTTGTCCTTGACAGACGTACCTGCCTAAACGTACTGATGGTTGTACCACCTGGTAGACTTGAGGTCCTGTATTTGTTAGAAACCCTGAGATGTTGATTGTCGTCTGGGTTACAGGGCTTAATTGTAGTTCATCTGCCAACCTTTTAGTGACATATGTTCTCTGGGACCCTTGGTCAAACAACTCACGGGTATGGACCTTGGCCCTCTTATTCAGGATGGTAATTTAGGCAGTAGGCAAAGACGCATTACTTTTGGACTTTGCTGATTGGACACCGGTTGTGTGTCGCACCTTGCAGTACTGTACTGTGGTGGGAATGCTATCTTCCATCTTGGGTTTTGAATACGTTAATTTCGTATGTTTGCACAGTGCTGCATGGTGCTTACCTCTTCTACACCTGGTGCAGGTGTAGAATTGGGTCTCACAATAGTCTATGTTGTGTGACTTAAGACACCTTGCGCATTTCCCTAATTCCTGGAGTCGCTTAATACGAGTGTCTCTGTCTGGATAATTAGCACAACGGTATGTTGAATGTTTTTTTTGCAGAATATACATGTCCCCCAGCCTACTGCACGTTTGGAAGTTACCGGGTTGGGTGAACTAGTAACAGTAGGCTTGGAGGATGCTGCTGCATAAGCTGCTGCATATCTGGCCCTCACTGCCAGATCTTTTCCAACTTGGTGTGAAAGTAATTGGTTGATGTTTATTTAAGGAATTTATTTTACCCTTTGACTATTAATTTTCTATTTCTGAAGGGTCGCAAGAGGCTTTAACTTCCTCATTTGCTCGTCGTTTGTCTATGATGCAAACCTTCAGTGATGTCCTGTACTGTCAGGAAGGTGTTATGTTGATGTGTGTATAATTCATCTAGTATATCACTGGACAATTTTCGTTGAAGGACTACTTTGGTCATCCACTCTGCAGGGGTTATGTCAGCCTTAAGACTGAATGTTCTTAGTAGTGACTCAAACTCCATGCTGAAGGATTGTAATGATTAAAAAAAAAAAAAACCAGTCTGATCAGGTTGAGGAAAGTCTAGCAATTGTAGTACTAAATGTATGACAGTTTTCTCATTGCCAACATTATCCCTAGGACACTGGTTAAGCCTTGTGGGGCTTATACTTGGGTTGCTCATAATGCTGAACAAGTACTGACGAAGTAGCCTAGGGGTAAAATTTTGCAATCACTAGGCTATAATCGTACCTCTTCCAGAGGTTAGCACTTAAAATTAATACACATTATATGTAATCATACACATAAATGATTTGATTGATAAACCAGTGTCACTGGAAGTACCTTTAGGTTAGCTCCTCAATTATCACCCTAGGATGGTATAGACACTAATTAATCACTCAAAGGTGCAATGATTATAAGTAAATTATTATATATACACAACTCAACTCGAGCTGGTATTAATTACACCCAAAATAGAGTCTGCACCATTAATTAATGGTGCTAGGGTGTTCAAGACTATGGTGGGTCCTAGACTATGGTAATAAATAGGAATAAGATGAACATCGGCCGTCGTATGACGGCCCGAGTGTTAACATCTTATATGATCGCTACTACCACTGAGCTAACCGTGCAATCTCCGCTCTTTCTATGGTAATAACAGATGCTATACCGATCATATAAGATGTTAACACTCGGGCCGTCATACGAAGACGTAAACCAGTACACAGAGGAAGGAGAGAGAGAGAGAGGAAGAGGGAGGCAGAGAGAGAGGAGAGAGCGAGAACGAGAGCAAGGGAGGGAGAACGAGAGCGAGTGAGGGCGAGGGAGAGTGAGACACTAGTGAGGGAGAGTGAGACAGAAAGATAGAGGTAATCGTAGTCACAACCTATCGTATGAGTTACCGAGTGACGCTGCCACCACCCTGAGTTACCGGACAGGGGACCGGAGTGAGAGTCGTAGGTCTTGCAGATGGAATAACCTACCAGGACAGGTGTAGGGGACAATTGAACGGTACAAGGATCCTGGCCTGACACTCGAATAATCCTGACCACTTGGGAACTATAGTGTACACAAGAATAAGGCGGGACACACCAATACTAACACCTCAACACGGAAGACGAACGGGGGGAGGAGTACTGAATAATTAAGAGCACTAGGTCACTAGGGCAAAGGGGACGGTAGGCCCAATATCACTAGGCAAGGAACCATTAATACACATTTAATAACACTTAATATCTGACTTTATTAAAAATAATTAAATAAGACACTCCCTAACTATATTCCCTACTAGAGGCCAAGGGTACTGAATGAGGTGCTTTAGTACAAGAGAGCCGTACTTACTCGTATGTTGTTCCACCGTTTCCGGGAGATGATGTTCCTTCCCCGGGTCCACACACACCTTCCTACTGGGCTGCGCCCACTGTACTAACTCTCCTGATCTGCTGCTCCTCAGCTGAACATGAGGGTTTTGCATTTGTTGTTTAGGGGTTAATCCCTGAAGATTACCATGAAGGCATCAATTCTGACCTCTTTGTGATTCGATGACCGTTGACCTGACTCTATGGCTAACTTGTACAGAGGTGTAACTTTTACATTGTCTGCCGCCGCCTGTCTGGCGCCTGTGGGTTGTTCATCCTCCACGTGGCCTGTTCATGCTGTTATGATGTTCATGTACTATGTACTGCTCTCTTGTTACATATCCACCTTGTGGGTGTGGCTGGCTCTCAACTCATGCACTGGTTACTAGGTTACTAATGATTCTTCTTCAATTGTTGCTGTCGAAGGCCACTTACATAATAGCAGTAATCCTATATATATGACAGCTATATCTGAGAAAATATTACAAATTTAAATAGAGATGAGAATAATACTCACTCTGGGTTGGTCACTGACTCATGTCCTAACCGTAATTATCCTATCTACCTAACATTACTGGCCAGGAATGACTAGCTAAGATTTCGGAAAGACACTTTCCTTGTTTAGATGATGACTGCGTGTTGATGATGGAAGAAGCACTAATTTACTCTCCATAACACTTTGTCCAAGGGAGAATTATTGGAGCTGAACTCGCTCCAGTGACCTGTTGTCATAATAATGGCTGACTTCTGGTCCTCCTCCTCTGACACATTCCTTGTTCTCCAGGTACGTCAATAAGTGGTAGAAAAGTCATATATACTCTATTTTGGTACTAATAATTAAGTTAATTCAAGTGAGATGTTTTTATGATGTTAACAGTCCAAACACTGCTGTACTAATAATAATTTCCAACAGAATATCTGGTGAATTAATAGTGCTATGTGGCAATGATATCTCGTTTTCTACGGGAGAAGAATTCCACTGCGCCACGTCTTCTATGAGTGAATTTATTTATACAACCTTGCAGCAATATTATCTGCCTATTGTATTGAATATTAGTAAATGGTGTCGGGTTTTCCGACATAGTTCATAGAGAGAGAGAGAGAGAGCTCCCTCTCCTTGTCTCACAGCTACGACCTCTCTCTCTTTCTCTCTCTCACTCTGTCTCACAGTGATCTCACCCTCTCCCTGTCTGACAGTGACGACCTCCGTCTTCCTCAGAGTCTGCTGTAGCACCATGATGATGATGAGAGTGGTGACGTGTGTGGTGGTGGTGACGGCGGCGGTGCTGGTCCTTGTTGACGCCGCCCCCCAGACTGGTGCTCCTCTAGGCCAGTCGCGTCCGGAGACCAGCTCCCAAGTCATGATCACCCTGGGTAAGTTAAGTCAAAGGTCTTCGGTGATGAGTGTGTGGTGGTGGTGGGTGTGTGTTGTGTGTGTTGTGTGTGTGTGTGTGTGTGTGTGTGTTGTGTGTGGTAGTGTGTGGTGGTGTGTGTGTGTTGTGTGTGTGTGTTGTGTGTGGTGGTGTGTGTGTGTGTGTGTGTGTGTGTGTGTGTGTGTGTGTGTGTGTGTGTGTGTGTGTGTGTGTGTGTGTGTGTGTGTGTGTGTGTGTGCGTGTGTGGTGTCCTCCCGTACTCTCGCATAACACTATTTTGATATAACAATCCTCAACGTCAAAGTAAATTATAATAAAAATCATAGCGACTCTCAAAATTGATGATTTGTCTCGTTTTCTATTTGTGTGTCCTTATCTATGATTTGGTCAATGTAGTTCATCACTTTAGTGACGTTGGGAACGCTCGACATATTATGACTATGTTTACCACTTCCAGAGTTCTGGGAGGTCCCCAGTCTTCAGAGTAAAGATTAAAACTTTACTTAGCGGATGACAAAGTTCTTCTGTAGCCTTCTTTCCGGTTTTGATCTTGCTGATTAGGTTACATTTAATTCCTCGTTGTGTTCTTTAACCTCATCTACAGCAACAACTACGTCATCCAGTGTGGCTTCTATCTCTTCATCTCAAGAATCTTGGTGTCTACGCTGCTTCTTGTGTAAAAACCTCTTGGAATCTATTGTTGAGTTCCTCACACACCTCTTTGTCGTTTTCCTTGAAAATTCCACCTTTCCTCTTCACACTGATCACAAACTGATCGCATGGTCTCTTACTCTTGCTCTTCTCCTCCTCATGTGGAAAGAAAACAATTTTGGCTGGCCCTTAGCATTTGCTACAGAATCGTGTTCAAATTGCCTCTCCGCTTCCCTCCTGACTCTGGTGTAATAACTTGTGGCTGTGTTCAGTGTCTCTTTATTTGCATACATCCTAGTCCTCTGTAACTTTCCCAGGCGTTGTGGGTCCCCTGCTGCCTTGAGGTGCTTCTTAATAATAATAATAATAATAATAATAATTTTTATTTAGGTAAGGAACATACATAGAGATTTTACAAAGTTTGTTGGCTTTATAGATAGAGCTAGTACATACAATGCCTAAAGCCACTATTACGCAAAGCGTTTCGGGCAGGACCACCTACGTCTTCAAGCAGGATATAGGAACATTTGTCCCGTCCGCCTCCGCCAGGAATGCGGTCAACAGTTCTGTTGCATTTTTGAACAATGACTTCCGTCATGTTAGTTGTTGTTCTCCCTTCCAGTTCTCTCCCCCCCCGGCCCCTCTACCCCCCGCCCCACTACCCCCCCCCGGCCCCTCTACCCCCCCCGCCCCACTACCCCCCCATGTTGGATTTCCCTCAGGCCCTGCTGTAATCCCCACCTCTGTTATCTCTCTTCTTCCCCCTCTCTCCTGATATTTTCCTCAATATACCCTCCTTTCTTGTCTCTTCCAACCTCCTTCCCTCTCCCTCCTCTCACTGCTCTTCCACCTTAACCCCATCTCCCTCCCCCTCCACACTCTACCTATCAAACCTCCAACACTCAAGCTTTTCCCATCTCTTCCTCTCCCTCCCCCCTTGACCTTTTCCTCCCCATCCCATTGGTCCTGCTTCAGTCCTTCCCCTAGTTCTTCCGCGCCCTTCCCTTCAGGTCCCTCCCACTCAACCGTTTCCTTCTGCCTCCCTCATCTCCCCTTTGACCCCTCCCTAGGTCCACTCCCCACCCCCATCAAGATGTATCAACCTGTCCTCTGAAAAATAACGTCGCCTTTGGCCGTTTGCTCGTATGGCCGAAAGTGGACGTAATTTGAAAATGAAAAAAATTAAAATAAATTTGAGATTTTTTTTCAACAACAGTTAGTTAAGGGTCCTCTGATAGGCTGGGTGGACAGGAAATTCTCATAAAGTTTCAAAACGTTATGAAAAACGTTAATTGAAAGTTACCTCTCCTAACCTTTCCGAGTAAGCCGGACGACTCAAACAGAAAACGGGACAGTACGTTACTTTCGTGAGCCAATTTCATTTCAAATTACGTCCACTTTTGGCCATAGCGCGCATACGAGCCAGGAGCGATGTTATTTTTAAGAGGACGGGTTGCTCAGAGTACTGTCCTGAGAGAACGGACTTCCGGTGTTAAATTCCACGGAACCCACAAGCTACATTTCACACTAGACCCCATGAAATTTATCTAGACATTACCTTGCGTTGATTCCGGGGGTCAAGGTCCCCGCGACCCGGTCTCTGGCCAGGCCTCCTTGTTGGTCGTCAAATCAACCAGACTGTTGGACGCGGCTGCTCGCAGAATGACGTATGAGTCACAGCCTGGTTGATCAGGTATCGTTTGGAGGTGCTTATCCAGTTCTCTCTTGAACACTGTAAGGGGTCGGCCAGTTATGTCCCTTATGTGTAGTGGAAGCGTGTTGAACAGTCTCGGGCCTCTGATGTTGATAGTTCTCTCTTGAACACTGTGAGGGGTCGGCGAGTTATGTCCCTTAGGTGTAGTGGAAGCGTGTTGAACAGTCTCGGGCCTCTGATGTTGATAGTTCTCTTTTGAACACTGTGAGGGGTCGGCCAGTTATGTCCCTTATGTGTAGTGGAAGCTTGTTGAACAGTCTCGGGCCTCTGATGTTGATAGTTCTCTCTTGAACACTGTGAGGGGTCGGCCAGTTATGTCCCTTATGTGTAGTGGAAGCTTGTTGAACAGTCTCGGGCCTCTGATGTTGATAGTTCTCTCTTGAACACTGTGAGGGGTCGGCCAGTTATGCCCCTTATGTGTAGTGGAAGCGTGTTGAACAGTCTCGGGTCTCTGATGTTGACAGTTCTCTCTTGAACACTGTGAGGGGTCGGCCAGTTATGCCCCTTATGTGTAGTGGAAGCGTGTTGAACAGTCTCGGGTCTCTGATGTTGACAGTTCTCTCTTGAACACTGTGAGGGGTCGGCCAGTTATGTCCCTTATGTGTAGTGGAAGCGTGTTGAACAGTCTCGGGCCTCTGATGTTGATAGTTCTCTCTTGAACAGTGTGAGGGGTCGGCCAGTTATGCCCCTTATGTGTAGTGGAAGCGTGTTGAACAGTCTCGGGCCTCTGATGTTGATAGTTCTCTCTTGAACAGTGTGAGGGGTCGGCCAGTTATGTCCCTTATGTGTAGTGGAAGCGTGTTGAACAGTCTCGGGCCTCTGATGTTGATAGTTCTCTCTTGAACAGTGTGAGGGGTCGGCCAGTTATGCCCCTTATGTGTAGTGGAAGCGTGTTGAACAGTCTCGGGCCTCTGATGTTGACAGTTCTCTCTTGAACACTGTGAGGGGTCGGCCAGTTATGCCCCTTATGTGTAGTGGAAGCGTGTTGAACAGTCTCGGGCCTCTGATGTTGATAGTTCTCTCTTGAACACTGTGAGGGGTCGGCCAGTTATGTCCCTTATGTGTAGTGGAAGCGTGTTGAACAGTCTCGGGTCTCTGATGTTGACAGTTCTCTCTTGAACACTGTGAGGGGTCGGCCAGTTATGTCCCTTATGTGTAGTGGAAGCGTGTTGAACAGTCTCGGGTCTCTGATGTTGACAGTTCTCTCTTGAACACTGTGAGGGGTCGGCCAGTTATGTCCCTTATGTGTAGTGGAAGCGTGTTGAACAGTCTCGGGCCTCTGATGTTGATAGTTCTCTCTTGAACACTGTGAGGGGTCGGCCAGTTATGTCCCTTATGTGTAGTGGAAGCGTGTTGAACAGTCTCGGGCCTCTGATGTTGATAGTTCTCTCTTGAACACTGTGAGGGGTCGGCCAGTTATGTCCCTTATGTGTAGTGGAAGCGTGTTGAACAGTCTCGGGTCTCTGATGTTGATAGTTCTCTCTTGAACACTGTGAGGGGTCGGCCAGTTATGTCCCTTATGTGTAGTGGAAGCGTGTTGAACAGTCTCGGGCCTCTGATGTTGATAGTTCTCTCTTGAACACTGTGAGGGGTCGGCGAGTTATGTCCCTTATGTGTAGTGGAAGCGTGTTGAACAGTCTCGGGTCTCTGATGTTGATAGTTCTCTCTTGAACACTGTGAGGGGTCGGCCAGTTATGTCCCTTATGTGTAGTGGAAGCGTGTTGAACAGTCTCGGGCCTCTGATGTTGATAGTTCTCTCTTGAACACTGTGAGGGGTCGGCCAGTTATGTCCCTTATGTGTAGTGGAAGCGTGTTGAACAGTCTCGGGTCTCTGATGTTGATAGTTCTCTCTTGAACACTGTGAGGGGTCGGCCAGTTATGTCCCTTATGTGTAGTGGAAGCGTGTTGAACAGTCTCGGGCCTCTGATGTTGATAGTTCTCTCTTGAACACTGTGAGGGGTCGGCCAGTTATGTCCCTTATGTGTAGTGGAAGCGTGTTGAACAGTCTCGGGTCTCTGATGTTGATAGTTCTCTCTTGAACACTGTGAGGGGTCGGCCAGTTATGTCCCTTATGTGTAGTGGAAGCGTGTTGAACAGTCTCGGGCCTCTGATGTTGACAGTTCTCTCTCAGGGGTGTTTATAATTGCGATATGTCTTAAAACATTTAATTTAGGTTTAACTGGACCAGCCTATGTTCATGGGTTTCATTGATATGTCATTCTCAGCCAACCTCTGCGTCGCTCTCCTAATTTCTATGCATTAGTTCTTTTGTTTTCAACACTTGATTATGTTCTCAGTTTTGTTCTGTTGTTTCCATCCATGCTCTGTTGTTTTCATCCATGCTCTGTTGTTTTCATCCATGCTCTGTTGTTTTCATCCATGCTCTGTTGTTTTCATCCATGCTCTGTTGTTTTCATCCATGCTCTGTTGTTTCCATCCATGCTCTGTTGTTTTCATCCATGCTCTGTTGTTTCCATCCATGCTCTGTTGTTTTCATCCATGCTCTGTTGTTTTCATCCATGCTCTGTTGTTTTCATCCATGCTCTGTTGTTTCCATCCATGCTCTGTTGTTTTCATCCATGCTCTGTTGTTTCCATCCATGCTCTGTTGTTTTCATCCATGCTCTGTTGTTTTCA